CATTTAAAAACATTATTTCTCAAGAATTAAAAGCGATTTTTCAAAACGGCTTGTTGCATTAAAAGGAGGATACTTTAATTAATAATTGGTGATATTTCTACAAGAATCCTTCAAGAAATTAATTTTATAGCGAATTTTGAAAATTATCGATGAAAATTGCAACATCGAAAATTTTATCAAAGTTTCAAATATTGTTTTCTCAAAAACTAAAAGTTATTTTTCAAAACGGGTTGGTTCATTGGAAAGAGGACAACTTTATTAACACTTTGGGAAATTTTCATACTCATATTCCAAGAAATGGATTTTATACGAATTTTTTTGTCGAAATATGTCCAAGGGCATCTAGGAATCTGAAGAAATACTTTAATCAACCTTAAACACGTTTTCTAAGGATACCCATTAAGGATTTGTGGAGCATATCTAAGTGTATTCGAAGGATTTATTAGAATTAATTGAAAAAATGTAAGAAAAAAGTTGATACTTTTCAAAAGTATTTATTTTTACTGTAGTTTTTTTTGTCATCTTTATAAACATTTAACATCGATATAAATATACAAATATAAACACATATAAACATGCAATAACATTTACGGTTCTAATCGCAATATCATAATAATATAATCAATATTTCTTTCCCTCAACTTATTTTTTTTACCGAATTTAATTCATCTTTAGTGTTTAGTTTATTTTTATGTCTTTTACAGTACGCAGTACAACGTTAAGGCTCTCTATTACAATTAGTAATAATAATAATGATAATCATATTATCCTGATAGCGTGTTTTTATTATTATTTAAATTTAAACCGAGCGTTTTTTTTTACCGGATAGGTGGAAGTCACTGTTTACGGCCCAAAAAAAAATATGTTAAAAAAAAGCTAATTATTTATTATTCGTTTCACTACTTTAGTAACATATTTTATTTTTAATGAGTCTCATACGGGTTGTGATTCATTAAAATTATAAGTGGGATTTCAATTCGACGTCTCACCCTTCCGAAAAAAGTGGAAGAGTAGAAAAATAATTTCGTTCGGAAGACGGGGACGTCTTTTTTTTTTTATATTTACAGAGGTTGAAGGGAAAAATGGCCAAAGGCACAGTTATTTTTTCTCTTTACTGATTTGGTCGATTCATAAGCCAGCCGTTCTACAGCGGAATATTTTTTTAAAGCGGTACAAATTTCTTTTTGATAAATACTGAGTTATCTGAGTAGGTTCATTTTGAATTTTTAGATTTAATTTTGTGAGTAGGCAAATAACTATTTTAATTCACTTTACTATTTCGTTTTGGTTCAGTTTTTTTTTTGATTTGATATGACTTGAAGCTAATCAATACTTTTTAATCAAAATTTTTTTGGAAATAATCAAGGTGAGATCACTTTAATCGTTTTTAAAGGGGTGTAAGGCACTGGCTTATATTTTAGTTTAGGTTCATTTTTTAAGTTATTTTTTTGAATGTTTATTATGGGTTATTTTTTGTTAGTAAGTTTTTTATTAATTTATTTTTTTATGTGGTTCACCTTGCTTATTTCTAATTCTTTTACGGTTCATTGTGATTTCTAGAGATATTATAGTAAAGCTATGTGTGCTTCTAGTGATATTTTTTGTTATAAAAATCAATCTCGGCGATTATAGGAGTTGCTTTTTCGATTATGTTTAGGCCTATATTTATAAATTAAAAAAATCGACCAGTTAAAAAACCTACTTAACACCTTGAAATTTAACTTCTCTTGCTTTCCGAAATGATTTCGTCCTCGACGGCGTCGGCGGTTTCAAAGAACTCGACATCGAATCTTGCCTTTGATGAATTAACGGTTGATGAGAACCCATAAACGGTGAGGTTGGTGGAAATTGAGGTGCTGTTAATGGTATCCAGCATTGATTTTGAAACCCAAATTGAATATCTAAAAAATTTTTAGAAGCTTATGAGACGTACGGCTAAACCCGAATGTTTTTAGTTCTAGGTCTAATGTTAGTTCTAGTGAAAATGTGAGTGTAAAACTAGAACCAACACTATATCTAAAACTAGAATCATTCGGGTTTAGCCGTCTTTAGAGACGTGCGGCTAAACCCAAATAATTTTAGTTCTAGGTATAGTGTTAGTTTAACATAGCAACAATGTTACTGTAAAACTAGAACTAACACTAGACCTAGAACTAGAATCATTCGACTGAAATGTCAAAAAATGACAGCTTCAAAAGTGACATCTACCGAAATAACGGGCTATTCAAAATAACACCTCTTATTGGAAAACCCTTTAGTAACAGTGCTAGTATAAAACTAGAACTAACAATAGATCTAGAACTAGAATCATTCCGGTTTAGCCGTCTTTAGAGACGTGCGGCGAAACCCAAATGATTCTAGTTCTAGGTATAGTGTTAGTTCTGCATAGTAACAGTGTTAGTGTAAAAGTAGAACTAACACTATACCTAGAACCATTTGGATTTAGCCGCACGTCTTTTAAGACGGAAATTCAGAGTTATCATAAGGACGTCATCTTTTCCAAGCAAAACTTTTCCTTAGCAAAACCACTCAATGCCTGTACTATTAACACGTTGACTGCCGCAGTAGTCATTAAAAGTCTATCCATTCTGGTCAGAACAATTTTAAAATTAAATTGGCTAGCAATAGGATAGTAAATTACAAATCATTATTTTTTTTATTGTTTTCAGTCGACAAGCAGCATATGATTCATGCGGCCCCACAAATAATAATTGCCGTACTGGCCGTTTGAATCATAAAGTGATTCATAAGAAAACAAGTCTGTTCATGCAAAAATGCAGTGCTATATGAATGATACGTTTAGTCGTTTACGGTTCGTGAATGGTATTTGTTGAATTCAGGTGGTAGTGTTTAGTTTTTGGTATAAAAAGTGTCTGTAAAAATCAGTTACGAAGAAGAACAACAAAATTGTGGCAGGAGTGTTTTTCAGACGAAGACGATAATGAACCATTTGAGGATTCTAGTGATAAATTTGTTGTGGTGAAGATTTTGATAAAGGTCCGTATGAGTTCATAGATCTAATGGTAACAGAGACAAACTGCTGAAGAATTACCCAAAGCCAGGATTTACGAATGGCATGACACAAATAAAGAGGAAACTGAGTGTTTCATTGTAATTATTATCTCTGACAGTTTCCGTCCATTGAATCATACTGGTCTAGAAGTGTTCTGTACACTAACAAAATCAAAGATCTAATTCCTCGTAATCGTTTCCAGTTGTTACTGAAAACATGAAAAAAAACCTGAAGCCTTAGAATATGCCAGGAAGAAAAACACGGATCCCTTTATAATATACCCGTATTTCCAGTTACTGAAGGAAACGATGCAAAAACTAAATTTACAAGACAAACCATCTAATATTTGGAATATGGATGAAACTAGTTTTTGCAGTGATCCCTCAAAGACGAAAATCGTAGGTGAAAACGGCTGTTCTTCTACTCGAATTGTATCTGGTACAGGGAGGACAAACACCAGTGTTCTGTTTGCTGCAGCTGCAGATGGACAAAAAGCTCCGCCATTAATGATATATAAACGAAAAAAGAATATCCAGGAACAACATATGCTACCACAGAGAACAGGTGGATGGAATCCCAAGTATTTAAGAACTATTTTTTGAAAACATTCATACTCTTCGTAGGTAATGGTGGTCCTGTTTTAGTTATATATGACGGCCACACAACTCATATCGATATCAACGTAGTGGATATAAAATTACCGCCACATACCAGCCATCTTCTACAACCACTTGAGTTGGCTGTTTTTACATCTATTAAAGTATTGGAAGCAGCAGGTCAGGGAGAACATACACCAGTGGAAGAGCTGGAATTGTTGGACTCAGAAAATGGTCGGCAACATAGTATACAATTAGATGAAGAATATACACCATCAGCTGAAGATGTTAGTTTGATAGAAAAAGAAGAACATGAGAGAGAACATAAACAAACACCAGCTGAAATGGAAGCAGTCACGTTTGAAGGACTTTTACTAAACCTCTTAAAAGGAAATCAAGCTAATAATATAACAGAAACATCCAGGAAGCCCAAAAGAAAGAAAGCTGCTACCAAGGGACAGAAGAAGACCAAAGAAGAGAATTCGATGAAACACAAGAAAATCAATAAAGTGAAACGTAAAATGATGCAAAAAAATACAAAAACCATCTACGATTCAGAAACAGATGAAGAATATTCATATTTGCATTTGAATGATGAAGATAGCGATTTTGAAACGCTTTCTGAAGCGGGTGCCGAAGCATTAGACGCACTTGACCTTGAAAAAAAAATTTAATTGAAATTGGAGACTGGATCTTAACTAGACTGAATTCAAAGATAAAGACTTTATTCAATATTTTATAGGAAAAATAGAAGATGTAGATCAGGATACTGGAAATCCAACTGCGAAATTTTTACGGAGAATAAAATCAAAAACGGTAACTTGCAGACCCGCTTTCACATGGCCTGATGTGGAAGATATTTCAGAAGTTGAGACTTCGGCGGTGATTTGTACTTTACCTCCTCCTATCATGGGAAGAAGGGGTGAAATCAAGTTTGATGTCAGTTTTTATGGCTATACCATCATTTCAATGTACTATCAATATTTCCATAACCATTTGTTATATTTTAATTCTGAAAATTGCTATAATTTCAAAAATACCTCGGTTAGCTGCTCTTGTCCCGTCGAGTCTATGCATTGGTGTGATAAATAACATGGGATGGCGCTCTTGCTTTCAAACATGGGATAAGTGCACCCGCCTAAAAATTTTGAAAAAAAATGTGTGTAGTGCCATGTACTATTTTTAAAGCTGATTGCGTCCTATTAATTTCAGACTTCTACTATAATTCTGGAGAATGTTGATAATAAATAGATACGGTTGATAATAATATTTCAGGCCTTGAGAATCAACACTCGATTCACATAAGCACAGGCCAATTCCAGTTCTTACAGGCATGTATTTTGAACTCCATAACTGTTATAGCAATCTGAAAAGCAATCGCTGATTCATTTGGCTTTTAAAAGTACACCCTGCATGAGAATCAACTGTTGCTTCTCGTGGCTGTTGTGGAAATTTTGTCGTGCATCAAGTTACGCTTCTCATGGCAGTCAATGTGTTAAACTATGTTACATTTTATGTGAGACAATGCAAGTGCATAGTAGTTTCATAACTATGGTTACTACATTCATACAGGGTGTATCTGAATGACTGCAACAAACTTCAAGGGGTGATTCTTTAGTGAATTTGAAGGGTACTTTGATATATGAACCATGGGCGACTTCGGCTCCCCTAAGGAGCTACACCCCTCCAAAAATGGCGGAAAATTTTGGTTTAATTTGTTTTTCTCAAAAACCATAAACGCTAGGAAAATGAAATTTGGGGAATATGTTTAACTCATAATAGGGCACGTTTTGACCCTACTCTTTAATAGACTGTTTTGAAGAACTAATTTTA